AAACTGTTGATCATGCAGAATTGATGATAAAGGCATATTATTGATCAAGATAAGTTTGTTGATCATGATCAATAGTTCATTCCTTTATTTAACGTCGGTCTCTGTTCCGCAATCTAGTGCCAATCACCGACGGTCATCGATTGCCATTCATTGACAGCAATCGAATGTGCAGGGAGGCAGCTTCGACACTTGCAAAAGATATCACACCCATTCAACAACACACATGGGCCGGGACCAACGGCTTTACTTCCCTTCCGAAGGAAGATGTGACCAGAGATTTTTATGCCTCACCGAAAAAGAAAAATCACACCGAACTCGGTTGGGATTAAACCCAGACCCAGTCACACTTACCACTACACCACTGGCGCCGGTCAAGGTCAATTGTCGATTAAGGAAAATTGATGATTATAAGGTCTGATCAGAATAATGGTAACTATAACTGTTGATGGAGCCAGATTATTGATCAAGGCAAAATTTTTGATCACGACTTATTGATGATCAAGACAAGTTGATCAACAATGATGATTGATGATCAAGGCAGATTTTGGATCAAGGCGAATAAATGACAGTAGTAAGTTGAGCATAGAATATTGGTAATTAAAATTGATTGTTGATCAAGTCAAATTATTGATATAGGGGAACTATTGATCGAGGCAGGAGATTGAGCAACGCAAATTATTAACTAAGGCCGACACTAGCAGCAATGTGAACTGTTGATTAGGACAAACAGTTGATTGAAGCAACCCAAGTAACAATTTTGGTTTTATGAGGGTTCTGTAGACCACGATTCAGACTTGTAGAATCCTATAAAACCTCTTTAAAACTAGCAATGTTATTTGGGAAGGCTATCGTTCAAAATAAAGCAAGTTGATCATTAAGGTGATTCTAGATCATGAACAAATTTTTATCCATCCAAATTGTTCATCCTGGAGAGTTATTGATGATTTTGATGAGATGTCAAGCATGATGTTGATAATTCCATTTTGTGATCTCCCACACTTTATGACAAATGGTGGATCAAGGAATATTTCAGACCACGGTAGATTTTCTATCAAGACGATTTGTTGATCAAGGAAGTTTGTTTAACACGATAAACTTACTAAACAAGGTAAATTATTGATCTTGGCAGATTGTTGACCAAGACGTATAGATCATCAAGGTAGATTGTTGATCAAGGCAGAGTGATTATCGAGGTAAGTTATCATATTAGTTGTTATCATACCTGCACATAGTCCATTCAGAAATGAAACAAGTTATTTTTAGTTATTGCAGCAATCCTAGCCGATGGGTTTGGAAGCATGTGATATCTACGGGTTTGTAACATTACAAATTATACGTTCGGTTTTCAACAAGCCTCAAACCAAAAATCAAAGTGGTTTGGATTACCGTCAACGCGGTGGACTGTTAAAAGGATCATCAAGACTAGGATTTCCATTTACCGACCGATTTTTGGCTGCTCTGAAATCTGAAAACAGCTCATGGCTATTTCCAGGCATTCCCGGGAAGCGATAAATACTATTATCCAGGGTCCCGAAAAGTTATAAGTTTAGTTTTTGATAAATATTTATTAGATTGTGCATTTGTTCCCCGGAAGGTTATTCTCAATACTCCTTATTCCAATTTATCTTGGATTTTTTTTTCTTGATTTGTTTTCCGTCGATCTTGTTTTCCGTGCTGAGCACCAGCTCCCATACCTGGACCCTACCTATCGACCCATCAACTCATAAACCGGGGACCAACGGCTTTACTTCCCTTGCAAAGGAAGGCGTGATCAGAGATGTTATGCCTCAGAACATACCGGCGGTGCCGACTGGGATTGAACCCAGGCCTGCTGGGGTGAGAGGCAATAACGCTGACCACTACACCACCGGCGCCGCTGATTTATCCAGGATGTTTCTTTCAACTTTTTCAAGGAATTTCATTCAAATTTTCACCTGAAGTCATGGCTTCTCTTCTCTCTCACAAGTTTGTTTTCCTAAGATTTTTCCCGACAGTTACATGTGATTATCACCCGGAAGATTTTCCCGTCTTTTTCTGAAAGTTTCTTCCAACTTTCTCCAGAAGTGTTTGCTTATGTTTCCCGGAGATTGTATCAATGTTCTCCCGGAGGGTTTTTTGATTCCAACGTCCACCGGATGTTTCTTCTGATTTCCCCGGAAGTTTCTTGTGACATTTTCAGATGGGTTTTCAGTTAACTACGAAAGTTTCATCTGTTTTTCCCTGGAAGATTGTTTAAGCTTGTGCTACAAGCTTTGTTTTCAATTTTTCCGAAATTCTCTACTAACATTACCCTTAAGGTTCTTACAAATTTTACTGGAGGTTTCTGCCAGCTTCGACTGGAAGATTCTTTCGGCTTCCTCTGGATGTTTTTCCAAACTTTCACTCTTCAGACTTCTGACTTCTCTTTTTCTAACATTCCCCAATTGTCCATCTGGCTCACCAAATGACCAATGAGATCAACCCAAATTTGATTTTAGTTTACTCAAAATCACAAGAAGTGCAGGAACTTAGCGATGAGTAAATTTGTCTTTTGTTTTGTAGTGCAAATCCTTAAAAATCTGCTGGAAAATGAGGAAAATTGACGAAAATTTTACTCAGTCAAGACTAAGAGTAGTACCAAACAACTGAGATAATCAAATGTTTAATTTTATCATACTCGGGATTTTTTTCCAGGAAAAACCTGAACAGACATGAGGCAAATTAACTCATCGTTGAATTACTGCAATTTTTGCGATTTATGAGTAAACTAAACTCAAATTTGGGTTGATCTCATTGGACGTGCACAAGGATGTATCTTCCGACTTTACCCGGAAGCGTCTTTAAACTTTCTCCACGAATTTCTTCAGATTTCCTCAGGAATATTCCAAGTTCTTCCGGGAGTTCTTCCCATTTTCCATGGAGTTATCAGAAGCTTTTTTTTCGACTTCCCCTTGCAAATATAGCTCAAATTTAAAGTGTGGTGTGAATGATTTTTAGTAAAGTGGTTTTTTAACAAACCTTCTGAAAAATTCAGAAAATTGAACCAGGCTTCCGGAAATCGGGAAGTGTAATTAAAAAAAAAATACCGGAACTAATTTTCTAGGACATTCTAGGAAAACTTTGAATTAGTTTCGTCGGACTTCAAAATAGTCAAAACATTCGGTACTACTCACATTTGTCTACCAAGCCAGGAAACAACTGAATTGAAACTTTAAGCAGACAATATGTAGATGGAATCCAAATTCAAAAACTGTGAAACATACGTGAAGGCCGACAGCTACTGAGGCAGAAGATATACGTTTGGTTACGGGATTAGGGGATATATTCCTGTCAGATTCAAATTTGTGTTTGCTGATTAATTCGCTTACAAATACATGGATTGGCAGGGCATGCGCATCTGCAGATACGTTATGAAGACAAACGTTTTCATCACAGATAAAACAATGGAATCGGAACTTTATAGGATTATCTGCCAATTTGTGAAACCCACGAGTACCTCGCAATGTTCTGGCCAGGATGGGCTACAAAGGTATAATGTAAAAGGGGTCAATTCCGTTCCAAAAGACGTCAACCTTCTCTATTGTCCTTGTTTGGGTCGATTTAAAATGCCCACCAAATGCCCAATTCATTAAGAGGAAGTTGATGAAAGACATCAGTCAAACAAAAAAAAAATGTATTTAAAAAAACGACAAATTAAGAAAACGGTTTTGCAGTGTGTTGGTAGATGAGCCGGCCTCCGGAAAAAAAGCCCATTAATTTCGTAAGCTTGTAAATCTAAATCCCAAATATACGCAATTAACTTTGTTTTTTCTTTCAGACTTTGGTGTGTATGGAAGCATCACATTTTATATGACGTACAACACAATTAGTTTTGACCCTAAGGTTCAAGTTTACAGATAGGTCAGTCACTTATGAAGCGTTGAAGTCTTTTCGTTGTTATTGCTAAACCATGTTTAGTGCTTTTTAGTTCTACTACCTCTGTTTGGAATTTTGCTGAATAGGTGTGAATTTACCTATGAATTATAGTTTATAAATCAATTTTGCGATCAAAAGGTGCTAATAGCTACCAATCGTAAAATTTTGCATAGCAGCATAAAAATAACATCACAGTTTACTAGGTTGACCATAAACGTTCAGTAAAGATTCATCAGAAGAGCAAAGCATACGCTCACAAGATTCACGCTCCAATGATCGACAGTCGACTAATTAGTTATTTGTTTTAGTACCTACTTAAGCCATAAATCAATTACTACATGTCCAGCCAGCGCTTCAAACGAAGGTATGCATGCACTGGTGAACTGCATAAATAACATGATTTTTTTCCCCACTGCCGCTTACTTTACAACCGACAAAAGGAACGTGCCTGCTCTTGTCCTCTGTCAATTCTATTCATCGAGCGATATCCAATTAATTTGCTGACCGCATCTATACAAGAATAATGTATTGGATCCTTTACAACGTCATCAGAGCAAGAGACGATGAATAGGAACACGTTCGACAGCGTTGATTCCTAAAATCTGTTACATCACCTGGGTGTCTCTTTCTATAGGTACCGCGATAATCTCCTCCGTGGTCATACATGTTTCGGTTTCGCAGCAAGCGAGGGGGGTGTGCGTGCGAGAAAGAGTCTCACGCAATCGCAAGGAGTAGGTATGCAAACGCACGCGTTCCATGTCCATGGATCGGTCACACCACAACAAAAGCGCGTTACTATAGGGGAAGGGGCCCGTCCATTTGTTGGTGGGACATGCGGTGAGACAATTTATGCAACACTTCATAAATTAGATAAATCGCGAGCACGCACATTGGGCGGTACAATCGGGTGGTTTGCATATCACACACTCACGGTGTCGTTGGAAAGGGGGGGGGGGGGGGGGGGGTATCATGATTGCAATCTGCTGCAACGTGAAATGTTGAGCATAAATAATACAGTCAGTGTTCGACGTGTTCGTTCTCAAATGTCAGCTGATGAAAGTTGAGATAGTACGGTGCTACATGGGAGAGGGGATCTCGATACATACTTTAATATCCTTGAAGAGCAGGCTATCGCTGGCAAAGGTGTTGTTCAGCACGGAAGGCTTGTTCTTCACACTGGGGAAGATGATACCACCTTTGCGGGACATGTTCTTGCCTCCTGCTTGCACCGTCTGTGCGGAAGCCGAAGTGGTGCTGGTGAGATTCGCATTGCTAGCAGTGGTACTAGTGCTGGTGCTACTGGTGCTCGTCGTCGAGGAAGAGGAGGCCGTTGGGTAGGTCGTCGTTGGCAGTGCTTCCGTGAAGTCTTCAACGATTGAGTACCTGTTGTTTTGATGGTAGATTTAGGGATGAGTTAGTTAACAAATAATTTAATGAACAGTCGTCACAGAACATTACCTGTTTGGGTCGTATTCAACGAGTCGATCAATCGTTGGGTCCAACAGTAGCTCCGCAGGAACGGGACGTTGAGCCAAAACCGCCACATCATCTTCCTGCTTCTTGAGTCGCTTCTCCACCATATCCAAGTTGTTGATGATCAAATTTGTTTTGGTTTTCAGATCGTGATGGATTTCTCCGATAGCACGCTCCTGCCGTTGGTTCTGTGTAAGCAGTGCATCCGATTTGGGCACCAAATCATCAACGGAACTCTTCGTACCCACAACAACATCCCATACTTCGTCCATTTTTTCCGACACGGACATGATCGGTCGGATCTGTTTCACCAGAATGTCGATCTTGCTGGCCTTTACGTACGGTGGTATCGTGGACGTTGAACTGTAGTTGAAGTTGATATTATGATCAACCACGGCATCGTGAACTTCGTTTAGCAAATTGATCGTCTTGCCTAAATTCTCCGACACAATGTTGATGTGGAACTGTAGCTTCTTATCGATACCTTCCTGGATGGACCGAAGCTGGCCCAGTTCCTTGGTAATGTGTCCCATCACTTCTGAATGCATTGCCTTCGTGATCTCTGCCACATTCATGCTGACAGTTTTCCGCTCACTGGCTTCGGCGTTGATGTCATCCAACGGTAAGAAATTACTGTCAATCTGATTCTTCAGCCCATTCAGCTTGTTATCGATATCGCTGACCTTCTGGTCCAACGAAACCAGTCGGCTGTCCAGGCTGTTGGTGGACTTGGCCGTCCTGACAATGTTAGTCCTGTCGCCATCGCCGGTCAGCTTATTGTCCAGCATCAGCAGCTTGGAGATGACTGAATCGGTTTTGTGAATATTGTCCGCAACCTTACTGTCCAGGGATTCCACCCGTCGCATCAGATGCTCCACCGCCTTGTCCAGGTTGTCTATCCGCTGGAGTTTGCCCTCCAGCGTCGATACCACTACTTCGAACACATTCAGCAGCTGTTGCTCCCTGTGGGCGAAAAAATAAAATGCATGCATTAAAATCCATCCTTTCTCCCTTTATTGCAGTCTGGTGGTAGCCACCTTATAATTAAAACAGATTGAATCGTTTAATATTCGCAAATTTGCGAGACGCACCATTCAAGCTGAACGTTTTAATTAAAGATAGGTGAAGTGAACTTATCGCTCAGTTTTGCACGGGTGCGCGCTTTTAGTGCGAAATTTAATGATTTAAGTTTTTCTTATATTTCAGATGCAGCAGCCTTTCCGGTACGTGATCATTTGCTGCTCAGTGAGTTGTATTAATGGTGATAATAATAAAAAAAAACAAGCTTGAATAAAGATGCTGCTGCTTCTGAGCATGGGCGGATTGTTTACGCAGAGGCTGTAGGACTTTCGTTTTTCACTTTTCACTCCATTGCCGCGGGAGGTTTTAATCGTTTTCTGCTGTTCACTGTTATCTTACAACGTTTAGTTCTTCTTGTTTATGGTTTGGATATACCGTTTGAATCGTAGAAGGGTGGTACTTAAAGGTTAACCTGGGGGAATTGGTGTGAATGGCTTGTGAAAGCAGTGGGATATATCTCTAGAAAAAGGGCTTTGGCTACACCCAAGCAATGGCCATTAGAAATGCAACCAGAAGGATTGAAAAGACAAAGCAATGTTTCATAAAATTTCTCGTCAAAATCAAAAAAGTGTTTTCTAATCAGTTGGCATTTTTCTACTACTTACTACTACCAATATTCACAGGTTACCGAAATAAATTCTGGGGTAATTTTAAAGTTAACTGTGTTTGATTTTTTTCCAACTTGGTGATACAATGCACGATCCAGTGTTGGGAAAATATAAAAAAAAAAACAAATCTCATCAAAGATCAAGATCACGCTTGATTTTCGTACACAAAAGTCAACGAGCAAACAACGGCGGTTGATGTAGCAAGCTGTGATATCAAGCTAAGCTGCAAATATCACCAAACTGTGGTGAAATTGAGTTTCATCATTTTTGCATTACACCCGAACGCAACCGAAACTGCCATAACGGGAGGCAGCAGTCGCTTCGTGTCTGTTGTCAGTGAAGAGAAAAAAGAGATAGCATTATTATACCTTCTCTTTCTAAGAAAACGAGGTGAAATAGAATGATTTTGCCTCGATTCAACTCTCAGCTTCAACTATACACGTTGTGAATAGTCTCGCAATATCAAGGAGCTTGAAAATCAATATCAAGCATGATATTTTGCTCCAATATTCAGAGCGTTTGAAAACGGATAAATATCATTTTGATTATGATTATGCCATCACTGATCCAATGCTTGAAAAAATGCACTTTGTACTATTTTTGAAGGTAGACTCAAACTGATTCAATAGTTTTCCAATCGAAATGTTTTTTGAAGAGTTGATAATACTGCTATTATTTTACATACCCCTCTTAAAAGTAACGGTATTCCCACCTAGCACGCTAATTTTTGTTTTCGATTTCCCGTGAAATTGTTTGCCTCAAGTTGCAAAGGTGGGAAGTTCATAATAAAGCATAGTGATTTTTGTGTGCAAGCCATAAAAAGCTAGGACAAGAGTGTCCCAACCGTCAGAGGAAAATGGAACAACACTTAACCTTTCTAGCTTTGATGCTTCAAAGAACTAACCAATCATATAATTACCAAAAACGGAACGTACGGTATGAGATGTCCAGATTGGATTCCAATGTCCAATCTTCCAGGGCCGATGTTTTTTAATCATCTCGCCCCTTAAATGCGGCACAGTAGGTCTGGCCATTTTGGTATGTATGACGCGTCCTCGATGTGAAACATATATCAAATAGACGACAAAAATTATGGAGGTAAATCAATAATTTTCCAGGATGCTTTCACGAACTGGCTTTGTTGGTGTTAGATTCGATTAGATAGTTTAGAAACCAATCCATGGTGCTAGCCTGAACTTCAACCTTCAAATTGATGACAAAAGTTTCTGCAGATGAAGTAAGCAGAATATTTGTAATCAAGCATATATTTTGAAGTGTTTCAACATTTTCTCCAAAGTTTTTGGTTTTAATCATATTACACAAGTTTCTACAATATTAGAGTAAAACGTTAGATCGTGGCGCCAACGAGCATTTGTGTGACCGTGCATTCTTTTGCAAAAACTTCCCTATTTTTGGGTAGTTTTACTTTCGACCAAATTTTGTTGATTTCCACCTTGGGGTAAGACAGCTTTCGATCATGAGTAAAATCGGAGGTAATTTTGAGTAGCTCTGAGTAACTTGCTTTGCTCAATATCATCCACACACCTGGTTGTTGTGTTGAAACCGATGCTGTCAAGCAATCATAATTTAGGTATTTTTAAACATTTTAAGCGGTGCCCGGCGGTCAAACCAAAGTTTAACCGAGAAGGTATTTCGGCAATGGAAAGGCAATTTCACTTTCATATAGCACGCTACGAAAGGAACTACAAGCGGTCCCCTCAAAATCGATGGAGAATTTCATGGTCACTACACAGATAAAAATTCTGAATTTTAATTGTGATGTAAACATTCATTCACGTAGACTTGTATTTCATTTCACGCAACCGAGCAACTTGCAAAAAATGTTGTTTGTTACAAAGATGATATTTTGTCGAGGGGGCGACTCTATCTAAGATGCAGGAAATTTGTTGCTTTGCTGTTTTGAGATACACTCGAGCTTAATAGATAGAAACACGATTGATTATGATTTTGAAGATTTACTGCAAAAAGGTGGATAGCGATGGGAGTAGATTGGTTTAGATGCAAGAGATGAAAAAAGATTTTTCGTATATTTATTCGCTAGTGTGCGATTTTTTGGCCATTTCAAATCAAGATTTGGATGTGTCGCACCCCTCGTATTTTGTTTACAATATTTGCTACATTGCATGAAATGTGTCAGAACTATACATGATATATAATGTAATCTATTTATGTGCATCATATTGAACTGAAATTTACACTACTTTTTCGAACTGTGTAGAGCCAGAGATGATTTACTGTCATACCGATGATGATCGACTATTGCAAACATTAGTAACCACATAATACGGATTCTTATGGACAGTCACAAGCATGGTTCATGGACAATCCCTAGAAGGCTTTGGACAATCTCTGGAAGAATTTCAGTCAATCGAATGGGGGTTTTATGACAGTCTCAGGAGGGACTCCGAACTAGCTTAGGGGTGATTCCAGACTATTCTCAGGGACGATTCCATATACTCCTAGTACGGCTTCCGGACACCAGGACGATTTCAGGTAAAATTGAGGGGCATTCATGACAGTTCAGAGAGGATCCCACACACTCGCAAAAAGGATTCCGTACAATCCCAGGGAGATTCCAGACAATCTCAGGGAGGACTACAGTCGATCCAAATGGATGATTCTGGATAATCCAAGGGGTGGTCACTGTACACACTTGTTTTGCGCCAACTTTTTTCTCAGTGTACCTCAGTGTGCCGCAGCTGTACCGGCAGTGCCAAGAAGTCATTGAACTGACTTTTGATTGCTTGTGAATAATACCGGTATTTTAACAGCTCTAGTTTTTGTTTTGTTTTTCAATGTTTTTAAAAACGACACGGACTCCAGTTGGGACTACACACTGGATACATCCGTCACCAAGGATGCCTGCAACGGACGAGCTCCGTTGCTACACGATGCTTCCATCTTCGGCGGAAGGCCGACCCCGCACAACGAACGTCAATCATTAGTCAACCAACCCTTCTGGGAGCCGGCGGAGGAAACGGATTTGCACCGAATTTTTCACCACCCGAGTATCATCCGTCGGAAAACTGGAAACCAACACCGGCCGGAACACACGTCGGACTGATGAAGGACGCACCGCTGACCCGAAACGGACCAGCCCTGCCGGACAATTCGATCAGCTTCAAGGTCTACAGCGCCTCCAAGAACAATCACTTCCCAGGCCAGCAAAAATCGCATTCTCCACTTCTTCAATACCCCACCCGTATGTCGTCCGGAGATCTGCTGCTGACTGCATTCACCACCAAGGACTGCCACCCGTCGCAAGTGCGAATGTTCCCGCTGAAATCGGAAAGTTCCTCCTCCGCATTGGTCAAGTTCCCGAGCGTAGCCCTGGTGGTGAACGTCATCATGAAGTGCAACCACAGCGCGATCACAAATGCACAAAACTCCCGTTCATTATGAAGCTGTGCTTCTCCTCCTCCAAGAAGATGAACGATGCGTGGAGCAACGAGAACACCGAAAACACGTTTGCTTTGAAAGAACGGAAGCTTCTTTTTCTGAGAAAAGAAAGGATTTTCCTTTTTCTGTGTAGTTAATGTTATGATTCGTAATTATAATTTCTTATTGTGTTAGTTGGAAGTGCAAAAAGGAAGAAGAGTAAAAATAATTTGTTGAACTATTTGAGATTTTGCCAAGACGGTCCTCCAACATTATATGTTGGACGATTGAATGATTGGTAGCAGCCACCGCCATGGATGTATTCGAGCTGGTCGGATGCTATAGTTTTTGTTTCGTTGTTGACTTTCCGATTAAAACTCAAGCACCGCTTGTCGTGACCGGTCCAAGATTTCCAGCGTCGGCCGCCACGGCTACACGAACTAGCGATGCAGCTCCCACGGCTGCGGCTGCGGCTACTTCCAATGCTGCTGCTGCTGCTGCTGATCCTTCTGCTGGTCCGTCTCCTCTAAAATTCGTCAAAAAAGACAGACCAGCGGCAGCATTGGAAGCAGCCGCAGCCGTGGGAGCTGCATCGCTAGTTCGTGTAGCCATGGCTGGAATCCACGGTCAGGTCAAGATGCCGTTGTCAGCTGTTCTTCGTCTGGGAGGAAATGTGGATGCGACTGCCGTCACGGGTGTTACGATTTTGAGATTCCTTATTATTCTTCTTCTTCTTTCCTTTATTTAACGTCGGTCTCTGTTCCGCAATATAGTGCCAATCACCGACGGACATCGACTGCCATCCATTGACGGCAATCGAATGTGCAGGAAGGCAGCTTCCCCACCTGCGTAGGATATCGGACCCATTTAAACACA